CCTACTGTCATAGTACAGCCTCTTAATTGATCTCCCTGGTTCTTCCTGCTCCTCTTTTTTATTATTTTGTTAGTGCAAATTAGTTACACAGAATAGCTAGTTTCATTCGGGGTGTCCATATATACATTTAACAGATGCTCATAATGTCCACTCCCAGCTCCCCCACTGACCTTCCCTTCCCTCTTCCTCCCCCTTGTTCCCTTCATCTTCTCTAATAGTCTCCTTCTACTTTTCTACATTCGTATCTTCTCTTTCTCTTTCTTCCCCCACCCCTTCACTCAATTCTACATTAAGATAAAACATGCAATATTTGTCTTTCTGAGTCTATTTTCTCTTAACACAATCATCTCTAGATGCATCCATTTTTCTGCATGATTCATTCTACTTTATGGCTGAATAATTAACACAGTAACCAGAGGAATACATGGCATTCAGATCACTTCACTCCTGTGAAGCCCTCAAGTGACACTGCCTTGCTCAAAAGATGTGAAAGTCCTCACCATCACCCTCCAGACCCAGCAGATCTGAACCCCAGTCACTCCTCTAAGCTCATCTACTACTCGCTTGCCAGGCTTCAACCACCCTGACCCTCTCAGGGTACCTTCAACATGCCCACATGCCCAGCCTTGAGGTCTCTGCGACTGCTGTCCTTTCTGTTCATTCTGAAATGCTTTTGCCTTAAATGACCATATGTCTCACCTCAGCCTCCCTACTCACCTTATTTAATAAAGTTGTTCCTTCCACAATGCTCCTACTCCTCTATGCTTGTTTTACATTTGTCTAACACTTTGTACATCTTATATACAGTATAACATACTTACTAGTTTTATTATAGATGGTCTTTCCCCCTCCACTAAGTCCATATGGCAGGGATTTTTGTACATTTTCTTCATTCCTACAGCCTGAGCATCCAGAACAATCTCTTACAAGCACTCAATAAATAAGTGTTGAGTTAATGCAGCTTCCAATTCCACTACCTGTGCCCATGCACATACACGTATTCTCACCTGTATGCACATATGTACACAAATACAGGCATGCATTAAGATTAAAACTAAAATGGTGGAAGATAAAAACATCCCTTACTCTTCCAGCTCTTGGATTTAGGCTGAATTTTCCCCTTAATGCAAAAGCTGTGGAAAATTGAACCTGCATAAGGATCAAAATGACCAAGTCAAACTTTATTTCTCTGTTGGTTCATTTTCTTAGGCAGACTCTACTCCTGAAATCTCCTAGTTTTCCATATATTCACATCTCCTTTTTTCAAAACCTGAAGTTTCAGATCTTTGCTACCTGAGATCCAAATAGCATCCCCATCTAGTTGATAAAAAGAAATAACTGGCTTTATCTCCGATAGGATACGGAATTGACTTTTATGCATTAGTCATTCAACCTTGAATTGAATTTTGACAGGATCTGCAGTGTATTAAATTGCTCCTGCAAGGATGAGAAATATATATTTCTTATTAAATGTGTAACAGGACTCAATAATACCTGTCATTTTCCACTGCAGAGATGAACTTGAATTAAAGCAGAATTAATTCAGCTAACTTAAGCACAGGTCTAATACCAAGTTTATTTCAGTTAAGGAATAAGGCAAATAAATCAAATTCCTATGTAAAGTTCTGTAGTAGTTCAAACAATAATATTCCATTCCAAATAATGCCTAGAAATATGTCAAAACCAAGAACTTTATTAATATTTTGCAGCTTTTCAAAATGCTTAGATGAATGGCCTATATTAAAAGAAAGAAACAGTATTTTCAGATATGCTTTACTGTAATCAGTCTATCCTTAGGACATTGCTATGTGTTCCTATAGACAAAGTGGACAAATGAGGCAAATGAGAAGTAGGCATCCTACAGTATTGGAGCAGCTACTTAATTCCAGGTACTGTTCTAAACAATTTATATTATCTCAATCATAGCTTTTAAAAACTGGAGTAGGCACTGACTCCATTTTAAAAATGAATAAAGAGCTAGGCATGGTGGCACATGCCTGTAATCCCAGAACTCTGAAGGCTGAGGCAGGAGGATTGCTATGAGTTCAAGACCAGCCTGGGCTACATAGTGAGTTCCAGGTCAGTCTCAACTACATAGTGAGACCCTGCCTCGAAAAAAAAAAAAAGAATAAAGTTTATTTGATGTTAGTAAAAGACAAAGCCAATGTTTGAACCCAGAGCTGTCTGAATCCAAAGATACATTACCACAGCTGAGTGCAAAGCTATGCTATCATCTGGTTATTTCAGTGAGGTACTATCAGTGGAAGACCTCAGAGAGAAGAGGCAACTGATACTTTTGGCAGAAGGTGAAGAACTAGAGTAGAAAGAATGCTGAATTAGAAGTCAGGGCATAGTTTGCTAAATGGCTTGGACAACTACTTACATTAGTTTCCGAGCTATAAGATTAAACAATTCCTTACTATAAACTACAAACTATTATAAAATAACAGTAAGAGGATGTCTATGTAACAGATTTTTGTGGGATAGTCTTCCTACCATGGTAGAAGCTTGGATATATTACCCTGATGGTTCTACCAGTTTCAAGACAAAATTATCCTACGAATGCATCATTAATGCTGAGATGAGTCTTCTTCTAAAGTAACCAGTCATGTCCTGGTCTGTATGTTTACATATCAAATATACATTTTTACATAGTCATTTTTCTTAAAACAGAGTATAGAACATCTCCTTCGTGGTGAAAGTATTATAGTAATTATTTCAGTTTAACACTGAATAAGCATAATTGTTTCATACAAGTCCTTTGCTTCTATGAATGTTTTGTTTAAATTTATAACCTCATCTTCAAAATCTATAATTACTGAACACCTCCTCAGTCATACTTAAGTCATTCAGTGCAATGCTTTAAGGCATACCTCCTTGCATCCTTTTATCTTGAATTTTCATTTGTGGGTCTCTTTTCTCCCTTTTTCCTTTCCCTGGAACTCTGCACATTACCACTACCTGAACAGTTATTCTACTCCTAAGTGCATCCCATTTAGAGTATCTACCATGTGTACATTTCAGGCCAATTTAATCCCCTTATACACTTCTTTTGAACAACAATACAAAACCACGTACTCATGCACACAGAATCATGACTCTTCTTCCCTTCATGGATGAACATTACTCAACCTGGTGAATTATTCCTGTACGGAACGATTCTGTGCAACATTTGGAAGCAGCTGAAGTTTGCCCGTACCCTGTTTCTGTTTTCCTTTTCTTTTCTCAACACTCTGAAAGCATCTACAGTCTTCGCACTTCCCCAGCTGTCCACTGCGACTCTTAACCCAGGCTAACAAACTCCAGTCAATCAGTCTGGTTTGTGTTTCTGTCTACTCCTGCTTTGTCCTAATCTCTCTTTGCCTTTGACTGTGATAAACTAAAATATGTCATTTTTAATCCATTAAGACTTTTATAAATATAAAATATCCATATTGTATAGGTAATCTCCTAAAGAATGGATAAAATATATAAAAGAAAAAAAGGAAAGCAAAGGGAAGGGAGAAAGAGTAAAAAAAAAAGAAAGATGAAAAGGGTAGAGGGAATGGTAAGAGGGAGGGAGGGGGAGAGAAAGGAGAAGAGGGATAGGAAGATAGAGAAGGAGGAAAGGGAGAGAAAAAGGGAGGTATTTGAAAATACCAAAAGAGATCCAGGAGCTACATGGGGTAGATGACCTTTCCATTTCCATCAGTTACCGAGCTACATCTTTAGATGACTGACGACTCCAGAAGTTGCAGGGCTAGCCTTAGTAAACTTCCATCCATGTCCCTGCTACGCCATTTCAAAGTATCTCACTAGTCACTCTAGATCCAGGGATTCCAACAAATCATCTCTGCAGAAATGTGCAGTAAATACCTGATGGTGGTGGATGACACCTTCAAATACATTCCAACTTTAGGAAGGACAGCTACCTCGCTTCAGTAAGCATCAATCAGAGTCCGGAGCTCATCATTTCCCAGAGCTGTCCTGCTGAACCTCTGAGAGTGACTTGTCCCTGTATACTCATTTTTGAAAATTGTTTGGATCTCTGTTGCCATTTTCGGAGCCCTGCAGCTGTTTCTCAGATTAATTTATATCCCTTTGGATAGTAAACTCTGTTTGGACCTTCTCCTAACTACTGCAAGATGATTTTCTTATTCTAACTATTACAGAACTTGCCCTCATTTAACTAGGTAAATCTACTTGCTATTCTCAGGCTTCTACATCTGTTTTTCTCATGCCACATCCTGCTAGTTCTCGGAGCAAATTTATCTTCCCTATGAAAGTTCCACTACTGTCTAATCAAAGATCAATGATATCGGAATTTATATAGCACCTTCTTCCACTCTGTCCACTTCACTTTCCCATGGGTTACTTTATTCAAATCACAAATCAGTCCTTTTCTGAAGTCAAACTAAAAATCTCAAGATCATTTAGCAGCCTGGGCACATTACAATAATGAAGGGGATCCTCATGTACAATTCTTATTTAATGTATCCAATCTTAGTGTTATAGTTTGGATCTGGAATGTGTCAAACCTTGGTCCCTAGCTGATGTGCTATTGGGAACTGGTGGAAAAATTTACAAGAAAATGGGCAGCTGGGGTAGCCTTTGGAGTGGATATTGGGATCCTGGCCCCTGCTGTTCCTCTGCTTCCTGACTGCCAAGAGTTGAATCTTCACTCTACTGCGTGCTTTCTTCCCTATTCCATCTTAACACAGGCCTAAAGTGATGGGTCAAGCAACTATGAATTAAAACATTTGAAACCATGATTCAAACTAAATCTTCCTTATCTTTAAGTAGTTTATCTCGAGTATTTTTTTCACAGTGATATAAAGTTGGCTAACACAGTCAATGACAGACTCCTAAGACATGATAAAAATGGGAAAAATGCTATGACTTTCTTAATTGTTTTTAAGGGGATTTCAAAGTCTCACTCAAAAGTATTCAGAGTATAGGGTAAGATGAACAGAGATAAAATTATACAAATATCCAATGCAAAACATATAAATCATGCATACCTTACATGAGACAGATCATTATACTCCTCAAGGTACTTTCACATAAAACTTTAGTTGAATTTTTGTCCTCACTGATTGATCCACTAAACCTCCGCAGCCTGACCTTGAGGGAACATATGATCTTGAGCCCTTCCTGTCACGTTCCATCATCTGCATTCAACCCCAGATGGATGATTCTACTTTCAGGTTTGCTTCCTCACAAGAAGTGCGAGTGATCACCAGTTATTCATCTTTATTTCCAAAGCAGTCTGGGAAATTAAAAGAGATGAGAATTGATTAATGTTCTCCATGAAAAGTTCAATAACTGTTTAATCACAGCTTGGAAATAAAGCAATGCTTCTAATCTTTTACAAATTAATTTAACGTTGCATTAAAAATAAAATAGGCTGTAAATTGTGCTGTGCAGAGATAATCAATGGCTCATTATCTTTGCTTCTAGCAAAATGCACTGATTCTTTTAAAATCATTAATGAGCAATATTGGGCAGTACACAGCCACAAATGTGTTCAAGTATTATTGATCCTACATCTATAAAACTAATCTCATCAGGGCAGAATTTATGAGCAGTAATAATGCAAACAGTTTCACGGTCCATATTAAAGAAATAAAGAAAAAAATTTGTGTCCATAAGGCAAGATTATAAGATCACTGGGGAAGAAAAATTCCCAAGTCCTTATTCTACTTTGCTGCTAGCACATTGTGGCACTTAATCACTGTTAAATATAAATCCAATTTAAAAAATCATCAATAGTGACCAATGAGATGTTAACAATCTTCTCACATAACCAAACCACTACGATAATTGTGTAATTTGGATTGATGTTACCACTTTTCTTAGACATTAATAGAATATTATGCACAATCTTTTATAAAGTCAGTTCTATATTATTCCATATGTTATGACATAATATTCACAAATATTTTGCTACTGAAACAGAAAATTTGAGGTGATAGATTATCTTTATTGTGTATATTTGTAAAATGTATGTTTTATCCATGTGTCTAACTGCTTATTAGGTATGTTCCCCTTGGATGCCTGTTAAGCCCTTCAAGGCTAGAAAGTCTGAAAGTCCTGGGCTAGTTCCCAAGAAATTGGTGTGTAGTTGCTAAACCTTAGGATCCACTTTATCCTGGATGGCAGATGGTAAGGAAAGAATGAACTGACCCTTATGAGTTCAGCAGAAGGAGAATGGATAATTCTTCAGAGATAAAAGAAGATGGAACTAGATAGCTAAGCACTACATGTTTATCAGCAAGGTTTTTATGTTTTGTTTTATTTTAATTGCTACAAAACAGAAGCAAAGCTAAATTATCTTTAGATAACAGCAATGGCTGCCTTACTACCTATCTCATAGAATAAACTACCATCACTAAAATGTGTCAAAACAAAGAGATTACATTTGGCTAAAAGCCAGCAGACTAGTATCCCCTGTACAGCTGTGAAATTTTACCAGGTTTATTGAGCTAAGTTTTGAAATATAGCATTTAATATCTTCCCTTTACTACCTATCCTTACCCAAAACAACAATGCTAATAAGTAAAAAATAAGTATATATATATCCAAATATATATATATCCAAAATTTGATATATGTCTTTCTAAGACTTTATCTAAAATTTTAAATTAGTCATATTACATTTGGAGGTTTTAGGATTGTCACTGGTATTAAAAGTGGCATTCATGTAGAAAAAGCAGAACTTGATTTCTCCTCTCAACTCTTCAAGGCCTCAATATATTTTTCAGTCTAAGAGACATAAGTGACACATTTCCATCCAGTTTCCTTTTATAGCTTTTAATTCTAAAAGAATATTTTTGGCCTACTTTCAGAACATAATTTTATAATAGAAGCATAAGAAAAAACTCACTGCCCAGAATTTCCACAAAAATGTTGTCAAACTTTTTTGTTAAACTGTTAAGCAATGTTTCACAGTCAAACATTGTCAACAATACTCACTTACATTTGACAAGTCAAAGACTGAAAACACCGATATTTCTCAAGATATAACTAAAGGGTAGACAAATTGTGAGAGTGAGTGAAGCCAAAAGGAGGACCTGAGCTTGGAAAAGCAGTAAGTAGAGGATGGCAAACTGTTCAGGGCCAACCTGACCCTATGGGCTAACCTGTGAGGGTGGTGGTGACGGCCAGGTCTATAGTGCTAGCAAAAGGCATACTGTGAATGTCAGTAAAAGTAGCTACTTTTTTCCTTCCACAAGAACCTAATGCAGAGTCACTTTGTCACTTACTGCTCTTAAAGTTGGAATGTCACAGGTTCATGGGCAAGAAAAACAAGCTGATAAAGAGTTTCTGGGATCAAATACACTTGTGAAGACTAACTGGCTTACCCATAAGTTCTTTTACTGTACTTAAACAGAGACCAGTTTAATTTGAATAAATTAAGTCCCAGAGGTTAAGCTGGGTAACCATTGTGAATCACAGTACATCTATAACACTTACTCTCAAATATCTATGTGAACAAAACTTACCTTTGAATCTTGTTTTCAAAATCCAAGTATGCATGAAAAAATACTCAACATGATGAACCATTAGGGAAATGAAAATCATAACAACAGTGATCAGCTATAATCCCAGAATTTGGGAGGCTGAGGCAGGAGGGTGGCTGAAAGTTCAAAGCCAGCCTAGATTGCATAGTGCATTCAAGGCCAAACTAGTATTTACAAGACCTTGTCTTAAAAACCAACAATGAAACATGATGATATACTAATTAAGGCCCACTAGAATAGCTAAAATAAAAAAATACAGACAATAACAATTGTTATCAGGGAGGTGAATCAACCGTAAATGGTACTGGCATTTTTTGGAAAACTGTATGAAACTGCTTTAAAACCTTAAATATATAGTTATATGATAGCACTTTCAGCCCTAACTATACACCTGTACTGACGCTAGGGCTGTCATAACAAAGTACCATTCTCAATGACTTGAGCAACAGAAATTTACTTTCCCACAGTTCTGGAGGGTGGAAGTCCAAGATCAAGGTGCCAACATGGCTGGTTTTCTCTCAGCCCTCTCCTTGGTTTATAAATATTCGCTGCATTTTGACATGATTGTCTCTCTTTGTACTCAAGCTCTGTTGTCCCTCTCTCCCCCCCTCTCTCTTTCTCTCCATATATATGTGTGTGTGTGTGTGTGTGTGTGTGTGTGTGTGTGTGTGTGTCTGTGTCTGTGTATAATCTCCTGTTTTTATAAGGACACCAATCGAATTGGATTAGAGCCCACCTCAACAGTCTCATTAAAACTGTATTATCTCTTTAAAGGCTTTATCTCTAAATGTAGGCACATTTTTGAGGTACCAGAGATTACGGCTTCAAAATATTCATGAGGATGCCATAATCCCAAGATAATTGAAAGCCTATGTATACATATAATTTATACATGAATGTTCATAGCAACATTATTCATAATTAACAAAAGTGAAAGCAACCAAAAGCCTATTAGCTGACAAAGAAGTAAAATACGTTATAGTCAAACAATGAATTGTTATTGGGTCATAAAAAGGAATGAATGAAGGACTGGTTTATAATATTATATGGATGTACCTTGAAATTATTACACCAAGTAAAAGAAACCAGTTTAAAAAGTCACGTTTTATATTATTTCATTTGCATAAAATAGCCTGACATGCAAATCTATAGATAGAAAGTTTACTAGTGGTTTCCAAGAACTAGATGACTGCTGATGGTTCAGTTTCTCTTGGAGGTGACAGAAATGTTCTGAAACCAGTTACTGATGAGGACTGAACAACTTGCTGAATATACTGAAAATCACTACATTGTTTGCTTTCAAAGGGTAAATTTTCATTGTGTAGAATTACACCTTAATAAATTTGTTGTTTAAATTTACAACTACACAAATTTGATGGGTCCCTATTCCAGAGATTCTGATACAAAAATCTCAGAGAAGACATAGGGATCTGCATTTTAAACTAATATTTCCTCACCCTTCAAAAAAATGTATTGAATTCCAAGGAACAGTCAGCTAAAAATTGGTGATCCAGAGTTTAGGAGGCCACATGGAGAGTTGAGAAGCTTTATAAGAAAAGAATAGAACCCCTATGCTTCATGCTGCTTATGATAATAGATATTTTTGTATCAGAAAATGGGTTTACTCTAGGTAGAAATAGAGCTGGGCAAATGGAAAGGAAGAAACTATAGCATAGCATTCACAATAGCACAGATAGCCTTTTGCGCCCTGGATTTCTCGGGCAAATGGAGCTATAATTCAGAAACAATCAACTCAAGTGTTTGTTTATGAAGAACTGTACAAAACCAAATGCAGATGGTCTAAATAGATTGCTTTACATTGAGGAAGAATATATATTCTTAATTTCCCAGCTTTAACTGTGGTATCTGGACATAAAATAAAATAAAATTACCACAGTCAAGAAATAATAGAGAAGTTATTACATTAGAATAGAAAAATGACCTTCCTTTTTATCAGGTGGTATTGGATTTATTTAACCATTACAGAGAAAATTGGTAGGTACATAATACCAAGGTCAATCTAGAAGAAGCCAGTTGCCATATCATGAGTAATGTTAAGTAGAGATTTCTATAGTCAGGAACTGGGACATCTTGCTAACAACTATCTTTAAAAAAGCAGATTTTTTTTTAGCCCCAAACAATCTTTCAGATAACTATAGCCCCAGCCAACAGCCTGACCAATCCAGAACCAGAATCACTCAAATAAGTGGTTCTTGGGTTCTTGATAGAAATTACAGTAAGTTTGTGACTTATGAATATTCTAGTTGCAAATGTTCACAGGTTTACTGTATAATATTCTCAGGTGTACTATATATATAAGATCACAGATTACTATATAAGACTTACTCTGTTGGATTACAAATGAATTCAATTTATGAACATTCTCCCAGAATGGACCTTTTTTATAAATTGAGTACATCCTATATGTGAAATCAATATTTATTGTTTTCATGTGCTAAGTTTTTTTTGGGTAATTACATTTTGGGCAACTTTTTCAAAGAACTTTTATTTATACAGTAGCTTTAGATTCACACTGTATGAGAGAAAAGTACACAAATAGCCTCACAAACCTCCTGCCCCCACACACACGTAGCCTCCTCCATTATCAATATCCCTACCAGAATAGGACATTTGTGATAATAAAGGAATGTACACTGTCACATTACTATCCCCCAAATGCATATATTTTGCATAGCAATAGCTGATTAATTTAATGCCACTTTTATGCTATGTTAATCAATTGTTA